TTTGTAATGTCGTTTCGTGTAATCCCTATAAATTTGGTAATGACAACAGGTGAGCTTCGGGTGGAGAAGCTTGATAGTAACTTTTAAAAACTGAGAGAGAGCAGAAAACACCGACATCAGCATTTTAAACACCGGGGTTATATCTCCACTGACTGTCTGTCTGAGCTCCTCTCTGTCTGACTCTCTGCAGACTGTTAACGTCTCTCGGGCTCGTTAAACGGTTTCTTGTGTCGCTATTTGAGATGTAAACTTAACTGTGCACACTATGCGGATAAGTTAACTGTCGCTCACGCCGTGTCGGTTTGGAAAAATATCAGAACAGTTGCATAAAACCGGGTTGGAGTTGTTTTTGCGGACTTCAGTTTTAAGTTTCGTTTTCACCGCTGCGGAGCAAAAGAGGGGGAGACGCGTCTGTGTCGGAGCATAAACTGCAGCATGATAGAATAAACACATCAGCCCGGTTCTACGATCTCTCTGCTTTGGCAGATCGTCAGCCAATTAAATTCCTTGACGATCTAAGATCGTTATATCGCCCACCACTAGCATAAAGTAGGTTTTTTAGTGTCTTTGCCTTGATTGAAAAGTGTCAGTCTTTCCTTAATCTATCCCACTGCTGACACTTTTGGGTCCAACACATCAACAACAACTCTCTACCCCGACACACGAGAGCCTCGCTCCAAAGCCAGGACTCCTTTCACGCTCCATGGGTGGCTGCAGGAGCAATTAGTCAGCCGTGCAGAGCTAAACACCCTGGCAGCACTTCAAAATCTCAGCAACCAAAGGAAAAATCATCGAAAGGCATTCGGAGGAGATTGCAAATCAGATTCTAAATGAGACACATGACACTAAAACGTGGTCGGTCAGTCATTCGTCCGTCTTTCAGTTCTCCCTGAAACAAACTGTGGTTCAGACTGCAGACACAGTCATCACAAAGCACGAACCAGCAGTAATATCTCTTCCTCATATTGCACTGAGGGTTTGCGCGCCTTGAAATCAGGATGGCAGCATCCTGTTGAGTCAGAGAGGTTCTAAACTAAATGTTGAATCTTAAATGTCTCAGAGGGACAGTTTCAGCCGAGGAGTCGTTAACACTCAAATATGTCTCCGTTAAAAGTTGTTAAAGCGACTAAACAACGAGACTGAGGTTAGAAACAGCCTCAAAAAGGAAACCTGCAAAGCCTGGAGAGGTTTGACCCTGAAGGCTTGAGCGTGGGGAGGGGCCGCCTGTCAGCGGGCATTCAGAGGGTGGAAGAAGCATCAGTGAGGAGGGAGCAGCGAGGCCACGAGTCCAATAATGAGCCGATAGAAAAAGTGACCGAGCAGGAATTCTGGAGGAATGTGAAGGATTTGAAGAAGTGGTGATGAAGCAGCGTTGTGCCTCGAATATGAGACTGTGCTTAATTGTTCGGAGACAATGAAGCTCATTGTGTTGAAGAATGTGAATCTGAGTCAGCCAATAACAGAAATCAGCAGTATGTGAGCATCAGTCTGAAACCCAACGTCCTCTATCCATGCACATCTCACAGTGAACACATCGAACAAAAATGTTTCAGAATCGACCGTTTCTGACCGCTTTTCCTCCATCATACAAATCTCATGTTGTCTGCCGATGCACAGAGAAAGAGAACACATTGAGGCAGAGTGTCGGTGCCTCTCCTCGGGTTTAGATGAGGTCGTCTCTCTTTTTGACGCATTTGGTTTTATTCAGTTGCAATACTGTAAAACCTAGTTTCAAAAAGGTCATACCAGGGCACCGGTAGCCTAGTGGTTAATGTGCCACCCCATGTACAGAGGCTATAGTCCTCCAAGCAAGCCGCCCGGATTCAAATCCAACCTGTGTCTCCTTTCCTGCACGTAATTCCTCTCTCTCTGCTTTTTGTCTCTATCGTCCTCCTGTCTCTAAAATAAGACAGGCATGAAAAGTCCAAAATAAACCTCTAAAAGGTTACACAAGAAATGAAAGCAATATCGACTTGTTGACTGCACAGAATTCTGCACCCGACATGGTTTGGCAAAAGAAACAATACATGGGGCGCCGATGGCCTAGCGGTTAGGTCGCGCCCCATGTGTGGAGGCTATCTTTCTCCAAGTGGACAGCCCCGGTTCAGATCCGACCTAACGACTCCTTTTCCTTCATGTCATTCCTCACTCTCGCTCTCTGACAGGTACTCTATCCACTGTCCAAACAAATAAAAGGCAAAAAAGCCCCAAAAATAAATCATAAAAAAAAGAAAGAAGAAACAAAACAATGATGAGGAATAACAAAACAACAGAAAGGGAGAAAGATTTGCAGATATGGTAAACACCCAGTGGATGCACAAAGGGAAGGAGAAAGAGAAGTCATGTTTTGCTCTATCCATGACTGACAAAGCAAAAGTAAACTCTCATTTTTCAGGTCTGATTCTCACATTTTTAGTTATAAGGAGCCAAGATGGCGGCGTGTTGAGATCACGCAGCGGCCACTCCGGACTATGAAGAAGCTATTTCTAGCGTTGGCACGTTTCCCCTCGACACTGAAACAGCCCGTTTAGATAGTGAAGGAACAAGTGTCCGTGTGTAACGCCACCAGTATGACAATATGATAATAAAAAGAACTTGACGTGACAAGAGGCGGGTCCTAAAGACGGTGGAAAAGTTCATTTATGGTTCAGATCTTCATTTCAATCAGAGTCACCTTCGACCCCTCGTCACAGAGCGTTGGTCCATCTGTGAGCGAGTACATCACTATTCATCAAGAAATAAGCTGAAGGCAGAATCCTCCTCTACACACTCAGCACTTGGAGTTCTTTATTTACATATTTATCGTTCAGATTTGTATTCAGACGCTCTCTCCTGTGGATTTTTGTTTATCTCCAAGCATTGTAAATAAAAAGCCCATCTCAGGACGGGGACTGTATTTTATATCAGGCTGTTCATGCTGCAGACGGAGACTCAGACGGCTGAGTTCTCTCCTCCAAGGAAAGCACCCTGATTCATGAAGATATAAAAGCTGCCAAGGCCAGAGAGCCAGACGGGGACCAGAGACCCCAAACTTCACCGCATGTTGATTAAGTGTGGGCCAGTTTCCTTGATGTGTCATTGGCTCTGGGAACATGGACCAGCTGAGTAAAAATACAAACGGAAGCCCTTTACAAACATGCAATCCTGAACATTTGTAGGAGATTTGAGGACAGGCTGCCCCTAAAACCTGCCCGAGTTTCTCTTTCACAAACGTCTCTCACAGCAGGAGATCAACTGTCAGATGGGGGGAGGGGCGGGGGTCTCAGGAGGTCGGACATGATGTGAAAAACATGCCGCAGAACACTGCAGGGGGATGCAGTGGGTTCTAACATTTTTCCTTGGAGCCCCCTAAGATAGAAAAGCTGCACAATTTCTCCGACCAAAAGACCTTCGTCTAAACGATCCAGTAAGTGTACAAAATGGATTTTAGTTTGCATGTGCAAATCTAATTTTGACAACCTCCGAGGAAGACAAAGCCTCGTCCTTCTTGATCAATGAATTGTCCTTAATGTGACTCAGACTTTTAGAGGGCCCTGAGTCAAAAGCTACTTTTAACTCCAGGTATGATACACATCACTTAAGATGTCTTAAACCAAATAACCACAGACACACAGAGAGAAGCTGGGGTCAGCAGATTATTATTCCGGCAGATGATTGGTCTCTGGGTCTTGCTGTGAATCTGTTATGGTCTACATGTCTGATGCTTGCACACAACTCAATGGGAACTTGAAGACAAAGATGTAAACACACAGATGGGTGGCTGAGCATTTTCCCCAAGGCTTTTTTTTTTTTTTTGCCTCTGCTTCTCCAAATTACTTTGTTTTTAATTAATCCTGCTGGTTGTTTTTGTCAATCCCTGCAGCTGCACACAATCTCTCCCCCCCAACTCCTCTCCCGTCCTCCTCTGATCCCCACACTCCCTCAGGTGTTCATTCGCACCTGCCCTCAGTGCTGCTGTCCACTTGTCACATCTGATCCTGTATCTCTGTTTGCACGCCAGCTCTTAACCCCCAGAAACATGCTCCAGTGTGTTTACCTGTATGCATGCCTGCAGAGTGTGTGTGTGTGTGTGTGTGTGTGTGTGTGTGTGTGTGCAAACATCCTGCATGCATTCATACATACCAATGAGCAGCGGTTCTGAGGCTATTTATAGAGCAGCTATATTAGCTCACCATATGTGTCAGCTGCTGCTCTCAAAATGGCCTCAGACAGCACGAGCAGGAGAACTAGGTGGCAAAGTAGGTAGACCCAACGAAAAGAGTGTGTGTGTGTGTGTGTGTGTGTGTGTGTGTGTGTGTGTGTGTGTGTGCCAGCTGTCGGTGTGTGAGAGAGGCCTGGAGCTGCGGGGCATTTTCTGTTGTCAAACAGGTCCACAAAATATACATGTAAGCAAACGTGCACAAGGAGTCGGAGTCACTAATAATCCGCCAAAACACACACACACACACACACACACACACACACACACACACGGGCACGCACACGCAGCGCGCCAACAAGTAAAGCCTGTTCAGCAATGAGGAGCCTCTGAGTCACACTCGCTTGTCAAAGTTGTGTCTCACATACAGCATAGAGCAAATCCCTCCATGAGAGAGAGAGAGAGAGAGAGAGAGAGAGAGAGAGAGAGAGAGAGAGTGTTTGATAGAAAGAGAGAGAGAGATGGGAGAGAGAGAGAGGGTGTGTGTGTTAGAGAGAGAGAGAGAGAGGTGAAGGACGAGAGCATGACTGATAGAAGGAGAAAGGCTCAACAGCAGCAGGAGGAAGTCAAAACGGAGTCTTTTCACAGATTTTCTGCGTGTGTGTTCTGTGTGTGTGTGTTCTGTGAGTGTGTGTGAGTGAGAGAGAAGCAGGTATTTGTGGATTCCTGCAGCAGGCACACAGGCAGAGGTGGGTGAACATGAGAGTGGAGGGAAATCTCTGCCTCAACAAAACAAAGCAGCCCCTCACCACCTCAGACTCAGACCATCTCTCTCTTTCTTTTTTCCACATTCTCAACTCACTTGATGAAGCAGCGAGCTCCCTCGAATGTGTATCCTTCCTCCCATCCTGTTGGTAAATCTGTGAGTGCAGAGGAAGGGGGGGGGGGAGAAAACACAGATATATAAGGTGCTGAGCAGAGAAATAAAGCCTTTTAATACACACACACACACACACACACACACACACTGCACAGCAATGCAGTGTCTGGACTACAAATAGCTCAATTGGCTTGTGCTCTTTAATGCATTCCGCCCCCCCCCTCCCCAATAAGCGGAGGAGATATTCAAGGATTACTCAATCATCCTGTCTCAGCCTCCAGCTGTGTGAACACTGATCTGCAGCCTGCAATATAAAGATGCCCTCCCGCCCTCTTTCTCTCGCGGCAGATGTGTGTTTCATTTTAGAATAGCGGCTTTGCACCGACGCACAAAACGCGCTGCATTGTTGTGAAAGCAGCTCGGTGCAGATACGGGCTCTGAAACGCTGCGTTTCTGCAGCAATGGGCGGATTTCAGGGAAATGTGTCAAATGTCACTGCAGGGAATCGGCTCTGAAATCGGCACACGCCTACGTGACGGAACTTTTAAAAAGTGTGTCGCAAAGTGTCCAGGTGGAGCGAGCAGGGGGAGGCCGGGGGGGGGGGACGCCGTGCGTAATGGTCCGCCAGAGGAGAGCAGAGAGGAGCACAAGAGGCTGTTGCTTTTGCTGCAGCGAGAAGAAATCTCCCCCTCATCGTCTTCCACGGCTCTCCCAGCAACTTGTCGCCCCCTTTTTCTTACGCCGTGACGCGCAGATAACCTTTCCCAGTCACGGAGTGCGCGCGTGCGAGTGCGTATTTTAGCAGGGATTGAAGAAAAAAACATTCTCAAGATTGTTTACCTGGAGTTTTTCTGTGGCCCGTGATCACAGCCTCTCCAGTAACAGGATGCAGCCAGGTTGTACTCTTTGCTTCTTCGCTGTTGGTGGAAGAAAACGGGGGAAAGGTGAACAGAGAAGCCGAAAAAAGACAAACAGGAAAAATGCGTCGGAGAAATAAGCAGTGCGTATCCATAAATCCACGTGTCCGCGTGATATTTACTTGATGAAGAATATGCGTCCATCCCGCGTCACCCCATAACTCCAAGAAGAGGGAAGGCAGGAGAGCCAGTCCGGCTTCGGGTCCGCCGCCATGTCTAGCTGAGAGCTACTCTGCTCTGGTTACTACACACAGGGGCTGGAGTGCGCGGCGCCGTGCCAGGCGCGCGCCCGACGGATTCCGCATGTGCGCGCTTACTGGAGATGGGAGCGCGCCCAGAGGAGGATAGAGACACAGGGAATGATTTTCTGCCAAGTTAAAGGAGTCGGTGGGTGTTTATTCTGCTGACGTGTGTGTGTGTGTGTGTTTGACTAAATTGGCCCAAAAGAAAGTTCACTATAAGTGTGATTCCTGCACGCGCTGCCAGAGCGTGCTTCAGGGCTCAGCTGTGAGTTTATAATCTGTCAATCATCCAACCAATCCCTGGTCATGTTGCGCCTCATAAATCCAAATGTTACTGACGAAGAAATCCAGGAACAGATATTTAATAGCATAGCCAGTGACGTCACTATTGGTATCAGCAGGTGTATTCGATTCTTATTTATTTCTATTCAGTTTAATTTTTTTTAATAATTTCTAAGTGAGTGTTTGAGTGCACTGCTGTTTTTCTGGCCTTTAACGGCTTTTGTTCAACTGTGAAAATCTTTTCCACAGGTGTTTGATAACCGCGTTTGAGGGATCAACAAAATAAATGTGTTTGTATAGTTATCTGTCAATCTTTAAAGATCGGAGGCAGATCCAAGAAAGATATCGGTTCCGTTATCGGTCTCAAAAATCTCGTATCGGTCCCGCCCTATTATTTGAAGCTTGATCCAAATGGTTGTGGTTATCTTCTGTCTTCTTAGTAATTCTTCAGTTTCATCAACATACTTCTTTCTTAACCCCTCCAGAGTGAACACATGACAAAGTTTAGGCGTTGAGTCGGCTTGATGCACATATTCCCGTGTCCACGGTAAAACTACCGCGTTGCCCCGCCATCACTAGAGTGTAACTAACACATTTCACTTCCTGTTTCCAGATCACATGACTACGCACGTGTTACAGAATGACAACAAATCTTCAAAATACTACAGGAATAGTGACAGTAAATATTCATCAATATTCACAAGATAAACACAACTATTCTCTGCTATACTCTCATATCATTCAAACAAAAATAGCCAAACGTATTTATAACAAATATCACATGACCTGACCTGGAGGACTGACCACCTGCCCAGACATGGACCTTGTGTCGCTCTTTGAGTTGCTTTATTGTTGTGGGAAACGTGGCGTCACATTTACAGAGAGTGGTAGAAGTCGTGTTATTGTAAGCAAAGAGAAGCTCAGTCGGTGACAAATCAGGTCTCAATAAAGATGTATTTGAAGGGTCGGGCGTGTGGATGTTGAACACTTTGCAGAGAGCGAATTGGTTTTATACAGAAAACGTGATCAGGCAGCTCAAAAAAAGTGACGACACCATCAGAAGATCATCAGAAGATGCCATTTAGTCCCTGGGGACAGAAAAGCAGCTTCATCTCAGATACAAGACGAGCTAAATAACGACCAAACATCCAAGTAGAGAGGTCTGACGCGTGAGAAGAAGAGGTTTGAGTCAAACAGCAGAGTCCATGTGCCGTTGGTATGAAGAAGTAATTATTCATGCAGGCATTTTTTTTTTTTTTTAACCTTCTTAGGGAATCTATATGACATGCATGCAGTGCATATTTCATACTCGCAGCACACACAGCTTCCTTACTCTTCTTCATGTGTTATTTACAAACCCATCTGCTGCAGACATGAGAGGCTTCATTTATAAAGAGAAATGGTGGTCGTTAAGATGAACAGATTTCAAACCAGCCTCTCAGATTCTTCAGGTCGCTGGAGCTCTAATCGAGGAACGAGGAGTTTCAACCAAAAGGTCGTGGCGCTCGAAGCAGCAGAGTCCTCTACAAGACGCTATAATGAGAATATTTATCTTTCTATCAACGCTGCGTGTAGTCGAACAGAATTTCAATGTGAACTAAAGAGTGGAGAAGAACATTCTGGAGAACAGGAAACATTTAATCCAAAAACAACAAAGACGGAGCGCCGATAGCCTAGCGGTTATGTCGCACATCCCATGTACAGAGGCTGTAGTCCTCATTGCAGTGGCCTTGGGTTCGAACCCGACCTTTGCCCTTTGCTGTACGTCGTCCCCCCCCCTCTCTCTCCTCCCAACGTTCCCTGTCTCTCCTTAGCTGTCGGATCTAATAAAGGCAAAAAAAATGGCCTCCCAAGATATCTGAAAAAGAAATACAGAGGGATATTGATGTGATGAAAAACCTGTTTTGATTCTTAGAGAGTGTGAGAGCGAAAGCAAACTAATTCTTATCCAACAACTCAGTCGTCCTTTTTGTCCCTTCACCATCCTGAACATGTAGAGGTTTCTCTTCTTGTGTCCCGTCTCCGGTTTGTCTTTTTCTCAGAAATCAAATCAAAAGCTTCGGACTGCTTTAAATCATGTTCCCGTTCTCGCAGGTTTTCATCCATAATGTGTCTCTGGTTTTCATATTCCTCGATGACGTGTCTTTGTGAAAGTGATCAGAGGATTATCGTCTTTTTTTAAATGAAGGAACCGCCGCACAGATCTGAAGAATTAAGAAGTATCGTCTGCGTTTAGTCCACATTAAATGAAACATTTCTGCCGTGAGAGCTGTCTAGTGGGAAACGCTCTCTGCAGCAGTCAGTCACAAACATCCTTCAGAAGCACTGATGCTTTAATCCCAAAATCCCACTTTTCTGCAGCAGAGCTCTTCTGAGAGCTAATGAAGCGCTAATGTTCAGTAATGAGGGGCTCCTCCAGGACCCTCCCTCCCCCCCCGCTCGTCCGTCTCACATGACAGCCAGCTTATTTTGGAGACGAGCGCACTCTCAAATATTGATCAGCCGGCTCCCGTACTGTTCCCGTCCAATCACAGCTTCTCTCTGGAGATCACACTCAACAGGCTGGAAATCCCCCCCCCCCACCCGACCGACCCGACCCACCCACCCAAACAAACAAACCTCCAACCGGCCCCCCTACTCATTCCCACTACACACGCCTCCTAATGAGGCTAGACAAAGCACACACACACGTTGTTAAGTCTGTCCCTGAGGTCAGGAATAGCTCACATTCTGAGCACACACACAGACACACCCCGTTAAGCCCCCCCAACACACACACACACACACTCACATACACACACACACACTCAGAGGTCAAATGGTCTTCGAGAGGAGGAGGAGGAGGAGGAGGAGGAGGAGGAGGATCCCCTCCCACTGTAGTCAAAGCCAAATACTGTAAGTGTTGCACAAGCCGTCACCTCCACCCCTCTGCTGCACTCACACTCCTCTGACTTCAGCTATGGAAGCAGAGGAGGGACAAAAAGAAAAAAACTCAATCTGTAACTGCACGTAATGGTTCACATATTACAATCACAAAACTTGTCCATAAAAACTGAAACAGAAACGCTCTTTAAGATGGAAATAAAACCATTTCTGAATAAGATCGATATGAAATTAGTATTTATTAAAGTCAAATATGTCAAAGTAAAAATGGTTGAAACATGTTGGTGTGTGTGCTTGTTAGGACCCTGACTGTGTGTGTGTGTGTGTGTGTGTGTGTGTCCCTCAGGAGCCCTTCATAAAGCCGTCTAATTACGGCGTCTTTGTGTTAAAGGAGGCAGGTCTTTATCCGATTAGTGAGCCTGTCGCTGCAGACGGATTGTCAGAGCGTTGCTCGGGGGTGTGGAGGTCAGTGAGGGACAAACAGTGTCAGAGTGTCACGCATGTCGACAGCAGTAACGCCGTCAGGTCTGAACCTCGGAGAGCGCCTGGAGAGCTGTTAATGATAATCAGAGAATCCTCTCCACACACTGTCAGTTCAAGACGTGATACTCAAGCCCGCGTCACATCTCACCTGCCATGAACGGAGGCGGAGCGGTCAGCCGGCGCCGTGATGCAAAGTGAATCCACACGCTGGGACACTGAAGATGTGTAAGCGCGAAGGCGTAGATTCTAACGGTGCTGTTGCAGAATCCCAATCAGCCGAGTGAAATCTTTCCTCTTTCAACATCAGCAGGATCCTCTTCCAGAGAACAGGGAGTAAAAACAGACCCTGAAGAAATCCTCCTCTGGTGCAGACTCAGAGAGGAGATAATAATCACAGATACACAGTCAGTCTGCAGCTACTCATTAAATAAACATTAGAAATGAATCTTCTTTCATTTGTCACAGTCGCATGAACAATCTGTGAGCTTTAGATATTATTCTAGAAGATGTATTTAGGGTTCTTTATTCTCCAATTAAGACAAGTTAAATGTGACTGACTTATACAGCGACAGAATGTGGTAAACATTCAGGACTTGAGTGACATCACTCGTAGGTTAAAGTGTTAAAAGGGATCATTGACTCCTTCTTAAACAGAGCTCATGGTTGTGGCCTCTAAGATCTTCCCCTCAATGTCGACCGCTTCTCCATCTGCAGTGGCCATTCCTGAGTCGGCCCGAGGCTGTTTGGGGGGGGGGCCCTCTTAATGTTGTGCCCCGGGCCCCAACTGACTCCAGAATGGCCACTGCAGATGGAGAAACGGTCAACATTAAAGAGGACGGCCATCACTCACAGACCCTGTAGCAGAATCTCTCTCACACGCTTTCATCACTTCCTGTCTGGATTATCTCGATGCAGTGTGACCTCCAGTCGGTGGTTATTCTGCAGTATGCAGAAAACTGGTTTCTGGTCTCTGGAGAGATTCATTTAGATTTTCATGATTTGGAGAATCAAGAAAGATAACTGGTGGTCTCTTTGTGTGAGTCGCTCTGATTGTGATTATTTCCTCTGTTACGATGGACGTCGCTGTCCGTCATGTCAATCGCTGACCTGCACGCTTTGCATTGTGGGAAACAGTACGCGAGGGAGACTGGTGTGATGCAGACTGTAGATTTTTCCTGAATCAGCACGACATGCAGGTTTTTGTGGCAAACTGAAGATCTCACATTTGTTCTCACACTGCATTTTGGACCAATCAGGTGGAACTTCTACTAAAGAAGGCATGAGCTGCACAAAGTAAGAACCGCAGTTACACGGTTTTATACATTTTGAAGCCATTTTAAAACGATAGAAAGGTCAAAAGAATCCT